CACACACACAGACACACACACAGACACACACACACAGACACACACACACACACACAGACACCCACACACACAGACACGCACACACACACACACAGAGACACACACACAGGGACACACACAGAGACACACACACAGAGACACACACACACAGAGACACACACAGAGACACACACACACAGAGACACACGCAGAGACACACACACACACAGAGAGACACACACACACAGAGACACACACACACAAAGACAGAGACACACAGATAGAGACACACAAACAGAGACACACAGACAGAGACACACAAACAGAGACACACAGACACACAAAGGCACACAGACAGAGACACACAAGCAGAGACACGCAGACAGAGACACACAGACAGAGACACACACACAGACACACACACACAGACACGCACACAGACACACACACACACACAGAGACACACACACACAGAGACACACACACACAGAGACACACACACACAGAGACACACACACACAGAGACACACACACACAGAGACACACACAAAGACACACACACAGAGACACACACAGAGAGACACACACACACAGAGACACACACACAGAGAGAGACACACACACACAGAGAGAGACACACAGACACACACACAGACACACACACAGACACACAGACACACACACACACAGACACACACACACACACAGACACACACACACACAGACACACACACACATAGACACACACACACAGACACACACACACAGACACACACACACAGACACGCACACAGACACACACACAGAGACACACACAGAGACACACACACAGAGACACACACACACAGAGACACACACACACACAGAGACACACACAGAGACACACACACAGACACACGAAGAGAGACACACACACACACAGAGAGACACACACACACACAGAGACACACACACCGAGACACACAAACACAGAGACACACACGCACAAAGACAGACAAAGAGACACACACACAGACACACACGCACAGAGGAGAGACACACACACAGAGACACACATACACAGAGCCACACACACAGACACACACACACACAGACACGCACACAGAGACACGCACACAGAGACACGCACACAGAGACACGCACACAGAGACACACGCACGCAGAGACACGCACGCAGAGACACGCACACAGAGACAGGCACACAGAGACACGCACACACAAAGACACGAAAACAGAGACACGCACACAGAGACACGCACACAGAGAAACGCACACAGAGACACGCACACAGAGACACGCACACAGAGACACGCACACAGAGACACGCACACAGAGACACGCACACAGAGACACGCACACAGAGACACGCACACAGAGACACGCACACAGAGACACGCACACAGAGACACGCACACAGAGACACGCACACAGAGACAGGCACACAGAGACAGGCACACAGAGACGTGCACACAGAGGCACGCACACAGAGACACGCACACACACACACAGACACACACACACACACAGAGACACACAGAGACACACAGAGACACACACACCGAGACACACAAACACAGAGACACACAGACACACACAGGGACACACAGACACACACACACACACAGACACACACACACACACAGACACACACACAGACAGAGACACACAGATAGACACACGCAGACAGAGACACAGACACACACAGACACACACACACACAGACAGAGACACACAGATAGAGACACACAAACAGAGACACACAGACAGAGACACACAGACAGAGACACACAGACACACAAAGACACACAGACAGAGACACACAAGCAGAGACACACAGACAGAGACACACAGGGACACACAGACACACACACACACACACAGACACACACACACAGACACACACACACAGACAGAGACACACAGATAGACACACACAGACAGAGACACAGACACACAGAGACACACAGAGACACACACAGACACACAGACACACACAGACACACACAGACACACACAGACACACACAGACACACACAGACACACACACACCACAGACACACACACACACAGACACACACAGACACACACACACACACAGACACAGACAGACACACACAGACACAGACAAACACACACACAGACACACACACACACACACATACAAGTGCATTCCAGGCTACACACACGTCTCACAAGCAGAGCTGCACGTGCATTCCCACACAAGGAAACAATAACAGGGAGAACACGTAACAAGCGCACCATCGTTGATCGGACCTTTTGGCTGAAACCTTTGCTCCGAGCTTTCGAGGCTGTGGCTCCCATGTCTTCTCAAGGCATCCGGGGCACCTAGCGGCACCGTTTGGGAAGGCCAGCGTGAGACTGGAGGCGGGCCAACTGGCCCAATTCAGGCTTCGAGAAAAGGCACCTCCAGGCAACAGCTGTCATCTGCAAAGCTAGCTGGCAGCAACTGTCAAGGTTCCAAACCACCTTTTGGCCGAGAGATCCAGTGTTTATACCAAATAATCTAAGACTGCGAAAATAACGGCATGGCATTTTGGTGCATCCCGGGCTCCCAGCAAGTTGCAGGCTGCACCTTGCCCACGGAGCCAAATTTGCGAAACCACACGCGCTCCTCTCTCAGCTTGGTATCATCTCACGATCTGGAAAAATGTAAAGCATGCAGGGGCTTGGCAAACCTATTTTTCCAGTTCCTTCGGCCCTGCCGATACGTGCCGCCTTTGAAAGAAAAGCGACCAACCCGCCCGTCATTTTCATCCCCTGCGCCTTGGGCACCATGGCCTGCGCGAATGGCCCGGCTTTAGATTTCAGCGCGGAAACGTAAGAGGAAGCTAGGGGAAACAGGGATCCTTATGAATACACCTGAACATTGCAACTTGTCTATTTGGTGTTGTTTCCCTTTATTTTGGTGTTGAAAAAGACATGATTCAAATGGTTGCAAAATGGAGATCTTTTGAGGAGCCCTGTGAAAAGGTGGGAAAACGGAAGCCATGCGAGCGACACCGGCATGTCCTGAGTCTTGCAAGCTATTTTGTGCCAAGCAGCTGGGATTCTCCCTTGCAGCCGCGGAAAGCACTAGTGGAACAAGTCAATGTCACGAACTCATTTCGAAAGGGTTCACGAAACGAAGTTGCCCAAGCTCAGCACCTGCACGCGAATTGTTGACAATTCAGCTCCAACTGGTGGTTTAGAGCCCGGCGATTTGGAAGGAGTGGTTTCACATTTACCCTCTACAAAAGCCAGGGGTTGAGTTCCCCAAACCAATCCAAACCTGAAGGTAACCTGAATCATGGCACAGTGGCCAATTTTCCAGACAGCCCGATTTTCCAGACAGCCAAGCCTCTGGAGCCGGCGCTTCCTACAAGCAGACAGCATGCATCCGCGGCAAACAGCTATGCTGGATGAATACCCTCCCTCCCACTAACATAGCACCTGTGGGAGGGTACCTGGAAGATAATTTTCCCCTTGTAGGGACCCTCTGGCAGGTGCAATGTTAGTCGGAGTGAGGGTATCAAGTGTAAACAAGATTGAAACAAGTCAGGCTGGATTGCCTGAGCTGCCAGTGTGTGCTTGCACAATCACTGGTCTGCATGAATCACAAGACACTCGGTACCATTCAGATTCGGCTGTACAATTTATTGGGCATTTCAGCACTGATGGAACCGCGGATTCCTTCTCTGCACCCAGGTCCAGCTGCAAGTTTACATCCACATCCTCAGCACTTGCCGAACAAGCGGCATGGCCAGCACAGGATTCAAGTCAAGTGAGTCACAATCAAAACCTGGTATAAAAACGGTCTACCCAGAACCATGTAAAGAATGAAGAAGGCGGATATCCGCACCCATTTATGGTTGGGACTGTCCCTAGGCCTCATCTGCCCGGGTTTTGAGCAAGTGGCTCAAGTGCACCATGCATCCGAATCCTGAGATCCTCTAGGCTTTCAAGGGGTAGCCAGCTGAAGCTCGGTCGCTGGCCCGGACGATGGGCAACGCCTGCCAAAAGAAAAAGCTAGAGATTTAGAAGGTTCCACCCCTGTAGAAGGTTGAAAGAGTACTAAAAGAGTACTAAAAGGACCAACAGGGGGAAGAACAGGTGAAATCCACAAAAGGCGCATCCAAAACGGTTTCTAGAAGAGATGCCCTGAGTGCTCAAACCGGGGCGCGCTACTTCTTTCCAGTCAGCTGCCTCGAGTCTGAGTCTCTGGATCTCTCTCAGCGGAAAGCTAAGCTCAGATTCAGTGGGGTCTTCACTGCGTTCAAGTCATTGCCTGCGGACCCATGTGAATGATTTTGGCAAGGCAAAGTTGCAGAATTTTGAGCTGTGCAGACCAAACGTGCAGCTAAAGGCTTCAGCTACAAAAGCAGGAGCCTTCTTCGCGCTTGCTAGTTGCTTTTCCTTGGAATGACAAGAAATTTTCAAGAAACTGAAAACAGGATCTGGCAAGGGACGGACAAGCTCTGGCTCAGCCAAAACGAACATCTGACCGCTGGGGTCTTAACGCTTGCCCCTCACGAGAAGAAGCTTCGCATTGGGTCAGCGGATTCCCTCACGCCTTGCTTTCAGTTGCTATCTTCCTCTCGCGCCGTGCGTCTTCAACGCACTTTATAGTATAAATCATTCGGCCAAAAATGAGTCTTTCGCGGAACCTCTCAGTTTCAGCATCCTTGGGGCTCATTCCTCATCCTCGCCTGACAGGCAAACTCTGCATGGGTTAGCATAGAATGTCAACCAAGGAAGCGTTGACACGCTGGCTCTCTCCACTTAAGTTTGACTGAACATCACCGAGGATCAATCACTGATCTCCCATACCTAACGCATAGCCAGCAACACTAACATTTACATCCCTCTGATCCCGTATGAGTTGTTCATTTTTGAGGTGGCTTTGCATCTGCTACGGCCCTGCACACGCAATCCACCTAGAAGTGAAGACCCATTAAATCAATCCGGATCCTGCCAAGAGTACCACCTTGTGCACATGAAAAACCAAGCGTGCGAATCGTGCCGTAAACAAAACTCCCATCTGCACTCCGCTGGCCACCCCCCCAGTAGGCAGCATGATCCCCAATCTCCGCCTGCCGCCTTTTTGCCTTTCCTCAGACAAGGGAGTTGCTGGCACCTCTTGGCAGGCTTGAGAACCCACAACGCATGCCATACAGGCTCAAGCCAGGGCTGGCTTAAAGTGTCTAAACTCTGCACACCTATTCCCCTTCACATGGCTCTTCAAGGCTGTTTTCACGCACCGACGCCGACGGTTGCCCACGGCAAAGCAGGCTTTGCCAATCTTTGCCAAGTTCCCCTTGCTCTGAGCACTTCATGGAGCGTCGCCCAACCCCACGACGTACATGCCAAGCCACTTTGCGGCCTTGGCCTTCTTCTTGGAAGGCGTCTTGGCCTCAGCCTCTGCCTGAGCGAGCTGAGAGCCCTGCCAATGTGCGGGGCTTGTGGCCGGCTGACGGGGTTTCTGCACAATAGGTCCTCCAGTAGAGAGGTTAGAACAAGGGTACCCACTTTTTTCTTTCTGTAGTCTATTTTAGTAGGGGAACCCTCCCCCAAAAAAGGGGTAAGAAAGGGCAGATACTGGAAGTTCAATGTAAATCCATGGTTCCAGCCAGAGATGTTCCTCGAAATGTTCGGCCCTCAGCCGAAGGCGCCGAACATTTCTCGGGGCGAGTGCTAGCAGCTTGTTTTTATCTTGTGGCCGTTTGCATTTCACAGGCGGTACTTCATATACTACAGCATTAGCTGCCAAAGCAAAACCCTTTTGGTTGCTCACTTAAACCTGGCCCCTTGCTGGTGCATAAATGCATGCAGAAATGTCAGTAGCACACACACACACACACACACACACTCACACACACACACACACCTTGCTTCTTACCAAACTTCCAGGACATTTGACCATAGTGGCCCCCTGTCGCTGCTTTTCAGTCTCTGATCGTTGTCTTGCACAGTTGTCGTTCGCAGCTGTGGCTCCTAGCCATGCCAGGAGCACCAGCAGCAGCACTCCAGCAGCAGCAGCAGAAAACATGCCAGGCGGCAGTGGTATTCAATTAGCAGTAGCAACAGCAGCAGCAATAGTGGCAGTAGGAGATGCAACAGCACTGTGGTGCCAGTGGCAGTTGCCGTGCACTCACACACACACATATTTAGATATGTTAAACAAAACATGCACTAATACCGTGCAAATGGGGGCCGGGGCATTTGCCAACACCAAGCACCACTTTGGTTCATTGACAAGGGAAACAACACGCCGGGGCAACTTCCGTGGCTCCGGGCCTTTCGCTTTTCACCCGCCGGCTTCTCGGCGGGCACGGGCTTCTGAGTCATAGCCTGCCGCATTAGGCAAGGCGAGGCTAGGCAGGTGCCCACTTGGGCCCCGTTACTTTTTCACGGCTGCACATTCACACCCAACTGGAGGGGCCCTCAATTTTGCCACATGCCAGTTGCTGAGCTTTCGATCGCTCCCTGTTTACTGAGTCGCTTAAGTCAATGTTCACTGCGTGCCTTGGCAGCAGCCACGAACTTGGTCGAGTCCTGCCGCATAACTGATGCTGCACCCAGCTTAGGAAGCTAGAAGGCTCACACGGCAAAGGCCGCACCACTCAGATGTATCGGTTTACAATGGTTCTGGCCTGCAAAATCAATTCAGGGACGGCCCCTTACACAACGAAAAGGCGCGGGGTTGTTTTTTCGGTCCAGATGGCAAAGGCTCGCTGTGCCCAAAGCCTCGCGGCTCATCCGCCGCGCCTCGTGGTTCTTGGAGAAAAGCTGCCAGGCCTCCAGAGCTGCGACCCTTTGGCCATGGTTGGCATTTCGCCTTTTTAGGCAAGGGCTGACCTCAATAGTGACCACCAGTCCCCATCTGGCCATGGGTCAACATCCCGTACCCCCAGTGAACATCCCAATCCCACTAAAAAAGGTTCTAAAATGGGTGGTGCGCCTACCCCAAAATGGTACCATTGGTTTTGACCCACAGCCGAGAAATCGCGTCGCCACCGATGCCCCGCACTTCGCACAGAATCTCCAACCAATCCTGTCAGTTGCCAGCGCGACCGGAGCGCCTTTTCCAGAGAGATCTCCCAGAAGGCCTTCTGGGTGTCGGTTGCACCTCAAGATCTCACAGGCAAGGCAAGCGCGCTCGGGAAGGCCAATATGGCCAACTTGGCCAACGCAAACTATGATCCCTACGACCAGGCATATTGGGGAAAAAGGTTCGGGAGATTTCGCTGTAACTTGGAGCTGTCGAGTTCTGAGGGCGGACGAATAGGGCTGATGCTCGGAAATTCAAGTTGGTTGCCTCCACAATGATTGAATTTCAACTAAAAAATCTGGCTTACGCAACTCGAGTAGACATTCGTCCAAGGTGATGTCTTTGATGTTTGTCAAACACCTCACTTAGAAGGAGCCATTCCAGATGCGTCGGGGCTCCCCAGAAGTTGATGTTGACCCCGTACGATCCACCTAATGTTGACCCAGGATTAATAAACCCGTCCTATTATTAGGGGGGTTCCCTGATGCATCCCCACTAAAAGGGGACACCTCCCTATCAATGAATGCAGGGGTTTATTAATCCGGGGTTAACATTCATCCTGGGTCAAAGTTCCCCCTCCAGCTGTAAATGCTCCAGGTCTTGCATGGCGTTGGCGTCGCAACCATGCGGTTCCGCTGGCACGCAAGGCTGGCGCAATGTAAATGACCTGCCGCTTGGTACAGGAAAGCGGCAGCCGCAAGAAAGCGAACGCCGCAGGGAGGTGCGTGTGGCCCCAGAATTTGTAAGGCGCACAGCTGTCTTTGTGGGGACGGCTTCTAGTTCGACTTTCTCAAAAAGCCTCCATTCACGCAAGACCCGTTCACCTACCAAGGCTCCATCAGCAGATCGAACCGGCAAATAAAAAAAATACAACTGTGCCGTGGTGCGAGAGCCAGGTTCCTTGTCAAGCATCATGCAGCCATTATGGCAATGCGCCAGGGACTCAGCATAGCCAAGCCGGTGTGCTCTGCAAACACGCACAACCCAATCCTGTGCTTGACAAATCGAAACGCGGCACACCTTCCTTATTTGGTTTGTGCTCACTAACATGAGTGCAGTGGCTGTCATGCGACAAATTGGCTGGAGAACAGCATTCTTGACCTCCAGCACAGCATACAAATGGAAGTAGAATCTCAGGGCTAGCTGAGAATCCTTGCTTATTAGGCCACAAATCGACGCTGGAAGGTGCCGCACCTGCGTGACGACTCAACATAATTTAGCACTACTTTGACAACAAGTATGGCACCGACATGCCGCGAACCACCTTTTGGCAACGCCGTTCTGTATCTGGCTCAAAGTGGATCAACTGGAACCCTCAGCAACGAGTGACATGAACTCTGATGAGTCCAGCCGTTCCCCATTGAAACATTGACACTCCAGGGCCACAATGCGATGCTGATCCGGAACAGGATTCAGTGAGGTTGCTTGTTGGTAGTAGCTCTCCCTCGAAAAAACGCAGGTGCCAGAATGCCCAAAGGCAGCTGGCCTGAAAGTCCAGGGAGAGCTAGGTGGGAAAACACACCTTGAGTGCTGAACCGTCAAACCCTTAGATGACCATCGAAGGCAATCTCACTATTCATGCAGTATCGTTCTTCGCTGCAATTGTGCACTTGCACAAGGGGGACAAAGCGAGTGTCGCTTCAACCCTCAGCAGGAATACTCGGACGGCACCCTCTCCTAACTGCCACAGTCAGTACAAGGCCTTATGTTTGCTGGCAAACACATCTTCTGGTGGGAGAAGGTGCTGCAGGCCTTCACAGAATGAGTACATGATGTAAACAAAGTGCATAAATCAAGAAAACCCTTGAGAGCACATGTTTTTGTCTTGCCAACAAACGGCTGCATAGTTAAGAAGCTCCAGAGGTATCTTTGCACACTCCCTTTGGACAGACTACCGGTCTCAAAGTTGCAAACCCAGCGTGCGCTCCAGCGAATTGAACGTCGACAACTGCCTTTGGAAACATGGCAATCGCCTCGCCGGATTGCACACGCAGGCCTGAGCTTGTGGCAGTGAGGCATTTCGCGGAACTTACGAGAGCAAGTGTGCAACTCGAATGTTCCTGCGCAGTGTTGAGCTGTTCGAATATTGTGTCTGGAAGGCTGAACCGTCTCTGGATACGAATTGGATAGCTTAGAAGAAAGCACGTCGAGTCCAAAGTTTGTGGCCAATCTGCTTTGATGTGTTATGTGACTATCAGGGATGGGCCGTCTATCAAGACTAACGCCCCAACCAGTCCAAGCCAGGGAGCACAGTTCTTGCTGGCCAAGCTCATGCACCGCCCTCCCAAGAAATGCAGCCCAGCGGCAATCCTATGCCTGAATGCAACCCAAATCCTTGCCACTTGGCAAACCAAATCCTTGCCACGTGTCCGAGGGAATCACCGAATCCTGGCAGTCAACTCTCAGCGCATCAATTGTTTTTATTTTAAAGAGATCAACCTGTGGTAGAAACTGCGTTAGATTCACGAGCTCAGCTATTTACGTGTGGCATGCAGGTTGGGACCAAGAAGTTTGGCTGGTTGCCAAGTGTTCGACACGCACAAAGTATCTATCTGCAAAAGAGGAAACCAAACACCAACCAACCAAACAACACATATATATATATAACAAGGCAAATGATTGTGCTAACCGAAGGTTTGCCATGGACAACAAATCAATGCTTCAATCAAAAACAAATTGCCACAGCTATGCATCTTGACCCTCTAGAGGACATGGCAACCTTGGGTTTGACTCCCGGGTTGTTGTTGGAAATCTGGGAGGGTCCCTCCCCTTCCTTGACTAATTGATCAGTTGATTGTGATTGATTGACAGGAAATTCCTCCCAATCAACATGGAACTTCCAGGACCCCCGGTCAGGTTCCATGCACAAAAGGCGGGAGGTAAATCAAAGCAAGGCACAACGAACCGAGCCGAGCCAAAACAGGGGGTCTTTTGCCACCTTTTGTGAGAAAATTGGCGACCCTCTTAAAAAGGAAGTCCGGGGTCGAACAACTTTCCACAACAGGCGGCAAAAAGACCCCCCTGAACAAAAACCGCCTTCGCTCTGAGCTCCTTCCGAAGGTTAGCCCTTCCTCCAACGAGATGATCTTGTACAAACGCGCAGGAGGGAGCCGCTTTTTGCCTCACGAGTAGCCAAAGCTCTACCCATGCCTTTGTAGCTACAACAAGAGTCACACAAAACCAGGCATTGGCCGCCAAGACACGGCAAAATTTGGAGAAGTGCAGATTGAGGTTGTCAAACAGCTCGGTAGTGAGGCGAAGGGCCAAGTTCTCATTTTCCTGCCTTGCCAAGATGATGGCGGATGCTACATGCACCAACCCTTCAGTTAGCCATGCAAACATCCCTTCTTCTCACCATGCTCCACATGCTGCAACATGTAGCCGAGTTGCGTCGGGCACATCACCACCAAACGCAGTTGCCCCTCTTGCTCCCTGTGTCCGCTGCCCTCTCCCATGAGACATGCCACGGAACCTGCGGACTTGGAGATTCTCTTCTTGTTGACTCCCTTCCGGCCGATCATCTGCCTCAGTTGTTCAGTGACCCTGAAGAAAACAAAGTAACCCGTTTTGGGGAAGACCATTTTTAGTGGGGCCAAAAAAAAAGACGAAGGGAAAAAGAATTGGTGCCACTGAACAACTGAGCCGCTGCACAAACTCCAACTCCTGGTGCGTCGCAGCACCAGCACCAGCCATGCTGCAGGACTTTGGGCATCTTCCACTTCTTGCCCCTGGCCGCGGTCACACCTGGACAGCCTGCAAGCCTGCAAGCGCAAGTGGCGGGGCTTTGGCCGGGACAGGCACACATGGGCCCAAATGCTCCAGGCCAGGGGGTGGGCGTACAGTCCCGAAGCCAAAGCTATTGAGCCGGAAGCTGTTGCTGGGACAATCACTGCCGAAGCCATCGTCGCTGTCGCAGGTAGAGGCAGTGCTGGGATTGCTCTTGGTGCTCTTGCACATGGTGCCACGGTAGGTGAGCAAGCTGCCCATCGGAATCTTCGCAACTTGCCAGCCACCGTCCCCATCGCGGGCATGGTCGGGACCATTCTGCGGGAAATCACTAGCCTACGGCTTGAGAGACCAAGAAGGGCTGCAGGATTCGAATTGCATCATCACGAGGAATCAAGCGCCACCCCACTTCACAAGTACCATGCCGCGGCAAGACCACTCGGCTGCAAACCATACACCCCAAACACCGCGAAGTGGAAAATGAAGCTGCGCCGGAACTCCTTGCAAAGGATCTACGTAGAAGGGCCCTCACAAGATCTTTTCTGAGGATATTATTAGAAGGCACCCATCCTGCAAGGAGATCGCACGCAGGACCGTATTACTCATATACATTGTAAACATATCATTTGAAAACATATTGCGCTATAGATCCTCTCCAAGAGCAACTTGCAGCAAGCTTGCACACAACCTACAATGTGCTCCTCGCCTTGTGAAAGCTGACTTCACAAGGATTCGAGGTTTCAGTTTCATCCCTGACGCCAGCCTCGACAGATTCTGATATTAGCAAGATTGCGGTTGCTTTGGGCACTAAAGAGATGACACTTTGCTCACCATGTCTTGCATGGATCACAACGAACGCTAGAGCTCGGCACCATCCACCAAGTGAATGGTGTACATGGCCGGCTGCATGCCCTGCTCGATGCGGAAGCAAGAGCAGGTCTCAACCTGAGATTCCACTAGCAGGGGCGCATTCACGGCAACATCTGACTCATTTGGCTGTGGGTCAACACCAATGGGATCCCATTTTGGTTGGTAAGTGCAACACCCATTTTAGAGCCTATTTTAGTGGGGATTGGGATGTTCACCGGGGGTACGGGATTTTTTGACCCATAGCCATTTGTACCATTGCGGCTTTGGCAAGCTTGATGCAGTCGATCAGTGAAACCAGCAACTTGGCGCTCTGCGAACTTGCGATAGCTCCTCAGCTAGAAAGGAATGCTGATACAACACCCCCACAAGCTGCGCCCATAATGCGACACGTCGACTGAACCCTGAGCGGCTTTTCACAGCCACGGCTCCCCAGGAGTGGCTTCCACTCTTTGGCCCAGCCGTCCGGAATGTAAGGATTCCCTTTCTCTTGCTCCTTGCCGGCGCATAGCAATTGCACTTCCCGTCCCCATCGGGCAAGACATGATTTTTGGACAAACATCATCCCTTCAAATTGTCTGCTCCGAGGCTTCTTTTGTGATTCGCACTCTCTTCACTACCAGCCCGTTCATTCTGGATTCTGCCTATTGGCACATCGACGAGATCGATTGTTGTGGATTCAAATTGACCACGTGGATCTTTGCCCCGGCTTGACCGATGGACGCATATCGCCCCTTGCCGGCCAGCCTTGGGGTTCGTCAGCAGGCCTTCTTTGATGAGCGCAATGGCCTCAAACGTTTCAGCGACAAAAACAAAATGCGCTGACAAGGGGCCGGAACCCAGGCCATCTGGGCTCATGGGCTAAACAGTCCTAGCCTTGTTCTGACTGATTGTGTCTGCGAAATCGATGAAGCTATCTTTCGAGTTGGATTGAGAAGCAGTAGCCAATCAGAATATTGTCATATTGTGACGTAATCATCATGATGCTATGAACCAAGTTGTGAATTGCACAAGGTCTCGCATTGAAAAATGGATGGTCTACAGCTGCATGCCCAAGAGTTAAATTATTTGGGCACAGCAAAGGGCCACTGCGCTTTGAAATCTCCGGTCAGCGATTAGGCTAAGCCAAGCACTTTCTTGGTTGCTTCTGCCCTCTCCTTTTCGGTGGGTGGAGGTCGCGGTTCAGCCTTTCCTGGCTCAACAGCTTTCAGGGGACAGGCCAAGCGTACCGGCAACGAAGACCCAGACAAGCAAGTTGATGGTTCTGCATCAAACTGCAAGTCTGGCCCTAAGAAACATGTCTTATCTTCCCGGATTAATGCAATGTGGAATGTGAGGGCCATAGGTGTCCTTTTGGACAAATAGATGACCCTGGAATAAAACCCATCTAAAACAGTGCCTTCTATTTTTGACTACACTAACCTAAAAAGGACACCTATGGTGAGGGCCCTGCCTTGCTTTGGTGGATTCGGAGGTGTCCCCTTCTTTGCCTCAGCGTGGCTTTGCGGCCTCCAGCCTCCAACTAGGACCCCTCCCCTCTGGACGACACGCTGATTTCCAGATTGCTGCGGCCCTGCTCCTGATCACCCAATTTACTCACAAAGGGACACGCGCAAAATGAGGATGTGCACATAAAATTCACTTTGTATAAATTTCCACACATGCATACAAATTCAACATGCGATTGAATATGCACACAATGTAACATACATGTGACATGTGTGCCTTTTGGTACCCCAATAAACTTCCATGGGATGGCCCATGCGCCCATCTGAGGCAGCAGAAAGGGCCGAGTCACAATCACCTACGTCGGGAAAAGGCCGACTCAACCTGATGTAAAGAAACCAAAGGTTGGACTGTCCCCTGTCCGCTCCGTGTTTTGAGTAGTCCGACGGCCTCTGAGCCAAGGCGCCTTCTCTTTTCCCTTCGCCTTAGCCTCATTTGCCGGCTTTGGGGCGTCCTCAGGCCGCGATTGCAGGCCAAGAAACGGCAACGTGCTTTCAAATCAGCGTCAAGGTTCCGATATGAAATGTGCAGCGAACCCCGGCATCGTGCCAACCTGCCAGAATGGCCTCCTGGGAGTAAGTATTGGCGGACAGCAGACATAGCGGAGATGCTTGCGATCAAGCGAGCGGGTTTCCATGAAAGCGGCGTCGTCATAATCGCGCAGAAAACGTTGCAAAATCACGTGCGTGCACGTACGCACGCACAGCAGGTGTGCGGGCGCAGCAGGGGTGCGGGGGGTGGCACGGGGCGGGGAAAGTGGGCATTGCCAACCGGCCAGCCGACGCAGCTGGTGGTTGCGAACCCCAGGATTGTAGCCCACGTCCACGTACACCGACACCTACATAGATACTTTATTAATAGTACTCGCTATTGTAGAAAAACATCCTCATTCAGAATCCTGTGACTGTTTTAGGGGTTCTCTACTGTGGCAAGTTTTTTTTGTCCTCCCCCCCCCAAAAAAAACAACGCAGAGCTTCTTTCTTCGCTTTCTGGATTTGCTCGGGCTCAGGCTAAACTTGCTAAGCCTTGGTAGCTCCTGTTGAGCTGGAGGCTGGTTCTGAGCTAGAACTGGGAAATTGTTTTCCTGAAGTGGTCCCCAAACCATGAAATTTAAGATAACTTCTTTACAAAAAAGTGCGGGCAAACAGTCACACAAAGGGGGGTGCCCACAAGAGGCCCAGATCCTCTTTAATGCGACTGTTTTGGGGCCCTCTTTGGTGTCCAACTGGTTTCGGGGGTTGCTGAAAAAACGACCCTTGGCAATACTACAGTAGAATTGGCAATACTAAAGTAAGTACTGGGGATCTGAGAGTCAGCCTTGGCAATACTAAAGTAGAGTTGGCAATGCTAAAGTAAGTAATGGGGATCTGAGAGTCAGCCTTGGCAATACTAAAGTAGAATTGGCAATGCTAAAGTAAGTACTGCCCCTCCCGGACCCCCAAAATCTCCCTACAGAGAGTCCCGCCGACTGGTTCCACTGTAGGGGGGGGGGGTCACACTAAACAGAGTCCAACATTACATGCACAAACACACCCACACCTACGCGCACATACACCTACACACGAAAACACACCCACACACCCACCCACCCGCGCACACACGCACGCACCCACCCACCCACCCACCCACCCACCCACCCACCCACCCACCCACCCACCCACCCACCCACCCACCCACACACACACCCACACACCCACACACCCACACACCCACACACACACACACAGACACACACAGACACACACAGACACACACAGACACACACACACACACACACACACACACACACACACACACACACACACACACACACACACACACACACACACACACACACACACACACACACACACACACACACACACACACACACACACACACACACACACACACACACACACACACACACACACACACACACACACACACACACACACACACACACACACACACACACACACACACACACACACACACACACACACACACACACACACACACACACACACACACACACACACACACACACACACACACACACACGCACTTGCCCGTCACACAAACTCTCCCCAGCATTTCCCCTGGCCGTGCCTCTGTGACCGGCGTGACCTTAGGCGATGCCTTGGGAGACTTCGGCGACTTGGGCATCGTCGAATCGTTTTCGCCCTGGACGATCTTTCCGCCCTGGCAGGGCAACAAAAGCTGGGCATGATTTTAATGGCTCACCCATCCACATGAGCAACTGCAACACGAGCCCCGTCTTCTTTTCGGCGGGTTGCAAACGATGCACCGTTTGATTCATTGCGGTTGTCCGAAAAATCCTTCCCCTCAAGGCGATGCTTGCCTGCTTGGCTTTCTTCAGAGACTTGTTCACCATGGCTTCACAAGCAGCTGAGCGTTCCAAAGCTGAAGCCACGCGGCCACCGATAATGGCCAGCTCACGGTTTTGGAGGTCCGGATCAAGCCAACGGGAACTCAATTGGCGGAGTGTCCAACACCTGTTGCTATGTTTGATGGTGTCTACAAACGCTTTGAGTCGCATCGCGTCATCACACATTGGCCCGTAAAGCAAATAAAAACGGTAAACAGCATGCACGTTGCATGTGTTAAGCCGCTCAAAAATAAAAGACAACAAAACAAGCGGTGCCCCACTGCAAAGCCCAAGCAAGCAACATAATTGCAAGATCAACCACGGCAATCGGCTGATCATTCTGTTTCAGAGGACTTTTGCCAATCTACCCCTGGAGAACCACAGCATGAGATATTACAAGCTTACTAGAAAGCTGATTGAAGGGATCCCCAAGTAAAGGACCTTTGTCATGAGCTCGTTATACCCCCAGGTATTTTGGCTCACTAAAGAATCCGAAGATATTGCAAGCTTCCAAGCACCACCACTCGAGAACCCACTCCGGCGCATGATCCGAAAATTCCGCACCCTCCGCACGCGCAGCCGCGCGGCGCGGCCCGCGGCCGTGGCCCTTGGTGGCATATTGGCCCCGCATTTGGCCCGTCTTAGGGAAAGCGCCGCACGTCTTTTGACCTAACGCGCAATCGAGGCTATGTGACCTGCAGGGCTCCTCACTTGTGCTGTGAGGCTGCTCTTCTTTGGCTGCTGCTACATAAACTGCTAACATTTTTATTCTTGGTTCCAAGTGAGCATGGGAAATCTGACATAGGTCCTGGTGTGAAGAAGGGGTACTGCCAGGCCAATATACGCGCAGCTGCATCATTAGTATGACCGATTCTGGGAAGCTGTATTGCCATTGATGTCTCCAACTTCTGTTTTCGCAGCCCGGCCTGCATGAGTTGGGTGGTGCTTGCCAGGTCAGGTGGCACTACCATGAGTCAATTTGTTGCAGTGCAAGGTGGCAAAGTTACAAACGCTCCCTCAAAACCTGTCAAGTTACTTGTCTCTTTCTCCAAAGTTGCGCCGTACCGTTTCAATCCCACCCGCCACATCCAGCGCTGGACAAGCTGAACAGCACCTGAGGCCAAAGGCTGTCGAATGGTAGTGTCCACTGCGTACAGGCGGATGTCAACCTCGACCGCACAAAGGCCAAAGAGCCTAACGCCAGGCACCAGTGAAACAAAAACAACCATGGCCATGGGTCAAAATCCAAATCGTACCCCCAGTGAACATCCCAATCCCACCAAAAAAAAGACTAAAATGGGTGGTGCACCTACCAACCAAAATTGGATCCATTGGTTTTGACAACCACGGCCACATGTTGGAAGCAGTCAAGGACCGGAAGATCGCCCAAATTTTGTCCTTGGCCAGCGACCTTGATGTCCACATAGGATGAAAGCTTCCACTGGTTCTCTGGCGCAGGCTCCTACAACCCCAAATGTCCAAATGGCATCAGCTGAGCAAACCAGTCTGCGCAACAAAGCCCCCCCCCTGGACTGCGCAACAAAGCCCTTTGCAAGCAACCGACTGCAATGCAGCAGCGCGTGATACGAGTGCTAAGGAAACACGGGGATACTGTCAATACCGACTAGCTCGTCTGAAAGTCGTGGCCAAACCTCCAACTGGCCAGCTCACTCCCTGAGCGGGTTGCTTAGAACAAGTCCAGCCAGACTTTTGTTTGTCACTAATAATCTTCCAGCAGAGTGTTTCAGCTTCACTAATTGAAGAAGTGAGCAAAGCTCTTCTCTGCACATGCCAAGGCTCGCAGGTTCGCCTATTTTCATCCTTGCTCACTGCCAGCTCAAAGCTCAGCCTTCTCTTCCTCAGCGGCACATGGCAAGGCTCGGGGATGCAATCCGTCGCCTGAAGGGCATGTTGTGCTCAGGCCCCCAAAAAGCACTCGTCAGACCGCCTGATTGCCGAACCTGGAGCTCAAGCACCATCGGAACCCAAACCTAGAGAGACCACCGGAACTGAAGACAAGTGGCACCCACTGGCTGGCAAAGCAGCAAGCTAACATCGTCTGCTTCTCCCGGGCCATACCTTATGTCATGCAGGCTGCGTCTCAACCTACATGCCGAAGTGCTTGCGCTGGGCCCCCGGTGCCCACGAAACTCCAGTTCAAGTTGCCGCCGGGCCCACCCTTGCACTGCAGCCTCTGCCAGCGCTTCGGCTGTGGCCAAGTTCTTCTCTGGGCTTCCCACCTCGCGAACCAAGGCACCGCTGCTTTGATTCCAAGACGTTACGCCAGTTTCTGTCTCCATCCTCTCCTGCCTTTGTCGCTCACTTGATGAAAGGGTGGCCACAAGATTAAGCTGAACATGTTGTAAACCCATGAAGCCGTCAGGCCCTGGCAAGCGCACGACCTGAATATGTTTCAAGTACAACTGCCTGAGTTCTTGCCAGCACCTCCTCCTCGCTCAGCACATCCCAGAGCCCATCCTGAAGTGCAGATCGAAACTTGGACGCCAGTGGTCCTTGAAAGGGGGTTCAAAGCATTGGTCCTTGAAAGGGGGACAAGCTCAAATTCCGAAGCATTTGGGGAATGCCACATTTCTTGATGCAATTTCCATAGGTCTGACAATAGCCGTGGCTCTGAGGCCATGAGCACGAAATCCCCAGGCGCAAGGTCCATGAATTCTGAGGTGTCTGGCACCTCGCTCAGCAAAGATGCCATTCGTCAAGTTTGCGAGTGGTAAAAAAAGAAGAAGTCGCACGCCTTGCAATGTGTGTTTCCGCAGCTGCCAATAAACGCTGATGCGACCATACAAGTTGCGCTCAGTAGTTTTTCAGCATGAGAGCTGGGTGCCCGACAGCTAGGAATCCAGCAGGCTCCTCAGTCAAACCAGAAAGTACGAATCCTTTCGACGTGGAAGTGGGACAAACCATTTATTCCTCAATGAGCAGTCTTGCAGAGTGTGCGCTCACATGTTTGCTCAAGATGCTTGAGTATGGTTTGGAAGCGAACATCTGGATGGCCCCCGTTCGGATGGAAGTGAGGCGGCCTAAACAAATCATCGTTCAAACCTCCAAAATCTCGACAGGGTGAGCGCAGTTGCATTGAGAGACCCTGTTTCGATTCCTGGAGGATGCCGTATCATATGCATAGAACACGTACGTATCTTGCTTACTCTCTCCAACATCATCAATGTGTGATTTTTTGTATATGTACGAACGCACAGTCACACAGACACACACACACACATACACACACACACCTGGACCCCCGAAAAGACGTTTTTGTCTCTCACGTTTTGCAGGCGACGACCCAAAATGCATCTCAATGACGGTGTCGTTTTGTGTTGCTTTCGCGTTGTTGCTTGCTTCTTTCGCGTCATGTTTTCAGGGGCGCGGCGTGCTGCGTCAAATTGTCAGGGGAAACTGGAGAAAAAAAACACACAAAAACATCGTTGCAGGGTCCAGGAATGCAAATCCATACGCATATTGTATACATGCTATGTCGTATATCATTTTACGTGTGCGCGCGTGTGTCTGTATGTGTGTGAACGCAGTCTGCAGTCTGGATGGGGCTGCAACACCATTGCCACGCGTACATCGTGACATCAGCCAAGGCTCCAAGTCCACATCACCAAGGCCGCGGGTTGGCATCACCTGGCTTGCTCTCAAGTCAAATGAGCCACCAACATCATGCTTAAGAGTAGCCATGCTCGAAACCCGGAACCATTTTCTGAAGCTCCATGCAGCTGGGCTGCGCAGCCAGCGCCGGGATCTGTGCTGCAAAGATACCCATCATGAAACTCGTACTTGTACTCAGGATGGCCCCGAATTCGTTGAACTTCTGATTCTAATTCGGTAGTGTGCAGGCTGGTCCTGAACGCAGTTCTCCTCAGGTCAAACAGCACACTTCACGCAGTATATCAAGAAAGACGCGACAACAACATTGACAGGCAGGAGCAGAAAGAACAGGGAGGCAGGAGGAGTTGTGAGGAAGGCGTTGAGGATGAAAGACAAAGAGAGACAAACAGAGAGAGAGAGAGAATGAGAGAAAGACAAAAACACAAGAAAATAAAAACAACAGGACAAAAGAAAGAAAGAAAGAAATAAAGAAAGAAAGAAAGAAATTATCAAAGACAAACAGAAAGAAACAGTACACAAATAAGAAAGACTGGCATAAACTAATAAAAAATAAGGCAAGCAAGCAAGGAAAAACATAAGTAAACCTATTAAAAAAAAAAATAATGATATGTTTTGTTTCTTGTGTGTTTTCTGTTTCTTTTGGTTCATGTTCTTTAAACATACATGCCGTTTTGAAACTCAATAATATAGGAAGAAATCAAGAACGCAGGAAACAATGCTGAAAGGAAGGAATGAAGCAAGGAAACAAGGAAGAAATAAAGGATGACAGTCAGAAAGAAAGGACGTAAGAAATAAATAATGGAAACATATGGCGAAAAGAAAGGAAGGAAGGAAGGAAGGAAGGAAGGAAGGAAGAAAGGAAGACACAACATAAATAAAGCGACAAAGGAAAAGGAAAACCAGACACATAACGGAGAGCGCTGATCTGCAACTTTGCGCTTTTTCTGTTCGAAATGCTCTGGGTTTGGCGAATTACGATGGGTGAGACACAAAACACGTCACAGCAAGGAGCACCACGTAGATTGCTTCTGTGACTTAGTCCAAGCTGACGGAATCCCTGGGGCATTTACTGACTCGTGGAGGTATGCCTTCCTCATCAGCGCCGCCAGCTGCTGAAGCTGGGGTGCTAAGGGGGCAGTTCCCCACGTCAGCACTCGGCCCAAGGATGCCAGCACCCCAATGGTGGGCTGATCCCCTTGAGTCGACAAATTCCGCAACATGGCCTTGTCGTAGAGCTCTGACTCGGTTGCTTCAGCGCGGGTCAGCACCACCAGGACGTTCCCCCGCGTCTGCTTCCAGGCAGCGCCCAAGACCTCGTGGTAAAAACCATTGCGATCCGTCAGCAGCGCTCGGCCCTCGTTGCGATGGACCACAACCACCAGCTCCGGCCGACCGGGCAGCACGGTGAATTGCCGCAGCTCCGCCTTGAGGAGCAGCCGGGATTTCACGTCACAGGGGAAAATGTCCTGAAGCATTTGGCCCAAGTCTGCGAGCTCTTGCTGCTTCAGCCCGCAAACCACCACCTCCAGCTTCTCAAACCTCTTTTGAATCCTGTCCTGACGCAGAAGGAAACCGCTCGCATTTTTCACCCCCAGCGCTTGCTCGCAGTTGGGGCAATGCACAGGGCTGCGACTTTCAAAGGCCTCAGCTGCGAACGCCACATTTTTCACAGGATTGATATTGAACGGACCTAAGGAGTCTCCCTTAACCCCTTGCATCGATTGATGCCTTGGGCTGGACAAGATCCCTGGGACCCTCCGGGCTCAAATCGCAGTTGACATATACACTCCTGGCCTCGACTACTTCAGAATGATGATGCCGACTTAAAACTAATGGAGGATGTCCGTATACGAACAACAACAAACCAGAATGGATCAACCCCAACTAAAGTGTAACCACCTCTGCTTCATCTGGAAGGCTGGTAAAAGGCGTCAGTCCATAATCAAACGCAAAGTTGCCTATTGTGGCTCAGCCAAGCATGGCTCATCCGTTCTCTCTCGCTCTCTCTTCTCTCGTGCTTCCCGCTGCTTCCCAAAACGTCCCAAACATCTTCCATTACGGGCACCCTTTCAGAGCCACGCACTCAAGCTAGGGCCATCTTCAGCTCAGCTGCGAGACTTCGAAAAATCATCTGATCACCTCTTGCCTCCTGGAAGCCATCGGAGCTTGCAACGCAGGTGCCGCAGAGGCAGCAGTAGCGCAACTCAGGCACCTGGAGTCGTAGCGAGGCTTTGCGTGGCTTCTGACATGCCTTGATCTAATACACAGTGTGGGTTGTACCTGAAAGTTGACGTGTGGCTGAGTCTCAAGGACCGACTGAAAAGGGGTTTAGCCTACCACACGGAAAGCAAAAGGCATGTGCCTGCATACATCCGCCAATTTCCGGGGCCACAAGTTGCAGCGTTTTCACGGAAGAACGCCTGAAAGTGATCAAAGCAGCCGCCAGGATGCTACAATAACATTTTTTAGCGCTACAGTCGTTGCAGGGGCAGCAAACGCGCGGAGCCTAAGGTAGCACTTTAATGTGCTCATACACTTCCATCTCCGATCGCACAAAAGGTCGAGAATCCATTACACGAAACTTTGCCTTTTTCTGGGCAGCAAAGGAATACATAGAAACAACATGAGGGGCCTCAGCCTTTCCCTGGGCAACATTCAAGGCAACAAGGGGCTTGACTCACCAAAAGCCAAAAGAGATCGCCCAGGCGCGCTCTCGGCGTCCGACACGGGCACATCCGGCTGTGGCCGGTCCACGTCGACCTGGCTGAGTGGCCAGGGCTCCGCTGGCATCGCCTCATGGCCCTGCCGCGGCCATGGCGGAGCTTCGAGCCGGCAAAAGAGCCTGTCCGGACCAGGCAACACATACATCCCAAAAAAGCATATAGACATATAAAACAAACAACAATATCATACCAGAAAAGACCCCAGACTGAGCAAGTGACACTGGGCAAGGTCCTCGTTGACAAGCCCAGGCGTGACGCACAAGCCAGAGTCATAGCTTCCACAGGTGTCTGTAAATTGTGGGTACGGTGGACAGGATTCGCGGATTCGTGGAACAGGGCGAATGGTATTGCGGCAGACTGGAAGAAGCGGCGCGATTGAAATGCCACTCAGCCGACACCCCATGCCAATTTGACTCAGCCAAGTCTCCCTTGCTTCACAAGGATGGCCATGGAATCCCCGGCCCAGGCAAAGGCCACTCTGGAGCTTCGCTCCTGGCCAGGCAAAGGCGGAGCTGGGCGTCGCCAAACATCCCATTGTACATGTCTATAGCTCTGGGATGACTTTTGAATATCCAGGAATAAATGCACCCAAACAAATCCGAAAGAATTCATCCAAAGGGTTCAGCGACTTCCCTCTACTCATATGCCAACGCCGAAAGCGCTTACGTGCCTCAGTCAGCAAGGCCAACAGTGTGGCGCCTCCCCGATACTGCATCTGTCGCGCCCGATCCTGTACCAAAGACCCCTTGCGAATGCGCCACTCAAACGAAGTGAGGGACAAACAGCCACAGCGGCCTTTGCAAGCCAGCCTGGAAGTTCTGCACCGCCTCTCTGGCACATTTGGGCCAGTCTGCAGCAACTCGGCAGGCATTCAAAAGGCCCTGCTGCAAATCCAGCGATCGCTTCATGATGCCCTGGCCACCATGTCCTCAGCAAAAGGTGGCTTGCTTCAAAACCACTAAACTTCGACTTCACCCGAGTAACATCTGACACCACTTGCGAACTGAACTGGGTGTGGCTAAGCGGCCGTCCATCAGCAGGGTTACGTTGAACACGCCGTTGCTTTCCGGCGTGACGACTACATCTTCACCTTTGCGTTAGACATTGTCAAGCACCCAGAACATTTGCTCTAGCGCCAAGGCTTCACATGTCAAATGATCTTTGCCTCTCCTTGCTCGCCTTCACCCAGCATTTCACTGGGAGCTCATGGGAGCCATGCTATGCTGAGATCCTGAGCCCTGGGCCTCGCTTGAGGCCCTTGTTCTGCGTCACTGCGATTGCCTAAGATCCACATTTTGTTGGTTGGAGAACACCTCTGGAGGCGCCCTGGCAGTGACCAAAACTGCAGCCCGTTGCCACAGCCAAAGGTGAACCTGAGAGTCTTCTGCACGGGTAAGTTTGACCACACGGTCTCACTTGCCCTTGTAAGCCGCAAAAAAAGTATATCTGCCCATTTGCCAGGAGCCGTGGTTGTTGTCGCTGTATTGTCGGTCGGGCGGGTTCTAGTGCTTGCATTAGTAACAGGAGAAGAAGAAGTAAAATGAGAGGTACCAGTAGAAGTAGAAGTGGCACTGGAAGAACAAGTAGCCGTTGTTGAAATACTGTAGCAGTAGGACTAGGAGTAGGAGCAAAAGTAGTAGTAGTAGCAGTAGTAGTAGTAGTAAAAGTAGTAGTAGTAGTAGTAGTAGTAGTAGTAGTAGTAGAAGTAGTAGTAGTAGTAGTAGTAGTAGTAGTAGTAGTAGTAGTAGAAGTAGTAGTAGTAGTGGTAGTGGTAGTGGTAGTAGTAGTAGTAGTAGCAGAAGTCGTAGTAGTAGTAGTAGTAGTAGAAGTAGTAGTAGTAGTGGTAGTGGTAGTGGTAGTAGTAGTAGTAGTAGTAGCAGAAGTCGTAGTAGTAGTAGCAGTAGTAGTAGTAGTAGTAGTAGGAAGTAGCAGTAGCAGTAGTAGTAGTAGCAGTAGCAGTAGTAGTAGTAGTAGTAGTAGTAGTTTTAGTAGTAGTCGTAGTAGCAGCAGCAGCAGCAGTAGTTTTAGTAGTAGTAGTAGTAGTAGCAGCAGTAGTAGTAGTAGTAAGAGTAGCAGAAACAGTAGCAGCAGCTATGCTGGCAGTAGTAATAGAAAGAATAGTAGCAGTACTCGTAGCTGTACATGTGCTGGTACTTGTGCTAGCTGCCAGTGGCAAAAAATATGATAGAAGTAGGTAGCGTCAGCAGCAACAGCGGGAGTTCTGTAGGCTGTAGCAGCAAGAAAACGCACCCTAGCTGCAGAAGGACACATAGCGCAAACAGTGATATCAGCTTCATGCTGGCAGAAACACCAACAAAAAAGCAGGAGCAGGTGAGGAAAGTGACACAAGCTTTTGCACTGATAGCATCGGAAGCTGTAGTTTTGGTAGTCCCGAGTGGCGGTGGGGGTGGTACGCTAGCTGCAATCGCAGCAGTACTCACAGTAGGAGTAGGCAGTAGTAAGGGCAGAGGCAGCCGCAGCAGCAGCAGTGGCAGAAGTGGACTTGGTAGTAGGCGGCCATGTCAGTAACAAATAAATGCACATAGTGATGGCGGTGGTGGCTGTGAGTAGCAGCAATTACCAGTTGCGATTCCTAAATTTCTCCGGGTGCAAAAGGAGTTGCCTTGCGGTTGCCTTGCGAAACCTCCCGCCCGGAGTCCGTTCAGTCCATCTCCAAAGTCCAGCAGCCGCTCCGGAGCTGTAGAGGCTCTGCCTGGGAAACGATGGACACCACATCCCAGGTTTGCACAGTCTGCCGCATCCACGCGCAATGTTTCTCGGTCACTAGGCATTTCGGGTTTGGCATGCAACAAATCCATGATTAGCCGATGGAATGTGAGTAGGGCGACTTTTGCGGCACTGCTTTGGTGTGTCTTCAAGCGCTGTTCTTCATTCGCAAACATGTTGCTTGTACGGCTATGTTGGCCGACGCCACGGCATCGCCCTCATGCATCGCAGGCACACTTCGTTGTTCCGCCGTGTCGACTCGACAGCGCCAGCGCCAGCGCAAACACAGAGGCATGCGGGCAGGCAAAGCCGCATTTGTCGAATCACTGTGGCGTTGCTATCCGCCGCTGGTGAGGGATCTCAATGCAAAGAAATCTGCTGGAAGTCAGGCAACAACTTATTTACACGTGTTGGCTGCTAAGGCTGGAGTAAGCCCGAGCTCTGCTAAAGCATCATGTTATACCCAGAATTGCTCGGATAGTCTGGACACTTGACTGTCGAGCATGCATTCTGCTCCTCGGCCCAGTGTATGCACACAACTGGTGAGCAAACATGTGGCTTTCAAGATCAGTGCAATAATGTCTGATGCGTGCTTTGTCACGTTCGGGTGCTGAGCCTGGATCGACGCTGGACATCCTACGTGTAATCTCGAGTCAAGGCTTGAGAGAGCAAGGGCCCAACATGGCTGGCTCAACCCATCACCAAACGGACCAACAAATCCAGCAACAAAGCCTGCCTGGGCCCAAGGCACCATATCTGTGCAATTGAGAAGGATTTAGGTTGACCTTCGCTGGGACCAAACTGAAACCCAACATTGAAAACACGGCAAGGCTCCGCTCGACACATGCCACGTGCAGCCGCGCTTGTTCTGCGCCAACAGAATGCACGTGGAACAAATAGAGCAATTTGAGTAGCCTGCCCAAGGAAGAAGCGAACGGCCTGCCCAAGAAACGAACGGTGCATGTCCTCCATGTAGTAGTAGGTGTGCAACTCTGTGACTTCTGCAATCTTCGGCAGGTCAGCACCCGCTTCCTGAGCGCAAACACATCCATCAAGCTCCGAGCAAATCGCCTTCTAGTGAGCCAACCCTTGTCGGATTAAGGCGGAAACAATGACCTCCACAAAAGACACCTTGTCACAAAGACCCAGTCTTCCAAAGCACAAGCTGCACCATCCAAAACATCCGTTTACACATAATTGCCCTCACAAACCGGTAGTCGAACAATTGTCAAGTCTGCAAGCTGCCCGCCTAAACGAACCGTGACACGTCAGGGACCGTCCCAAACGTGATTGCACGTTGCGAATGAACAGTCACTGGGTGAATCAATTCCCTAAGCAAGCTGGACGTCTGAACGTTTCCCCTGCCCCCCCAATCATCAAAGGGGGGCCTTGGATTCAGGGCTTCATGATGCAAACCAGCGTTGGTTCTAAAGTAAGGGATTTAAACAGTAAGACTTAGGGTGTGGAACCTGCAGGTCTGAAATAATTTGGGTGGTTTCCGCGGACGGCCGGAGATGGGGACGGTAGGGGAAATCACTGCTTTGGCATTTGGTTCAAATTGGCTATGCTAAATCTAGTAATTATTCCCGGACCTGGATGTTGTAGGAATATCGGAAAGATACTTGCTACTGTTGATGGACGAAATCCTGCGTCACCTGGGAAACGGTAGAATGATGAATCCAACAAACAGTGGTTTCCGATCGTTTTAAAGTGGTGCCGGATTTCGTCCATCCACAGAATTAGCGGGACCTCTATGATTGTTGAAGCAGGGGATATTTTGCAAAAAGCATAGGGGTTGTTTGCCTCAGTGGCCGGGCGAGGCAGTTCAGAGCCACAAGCTTCTATTGATGAGACTGGAAACCTCGCCCACTTGCGCGTGAGGCTGGCCTCCAGCAAAGCAGCCCTGATTTGCGCCTCGAGCTCCTGAGCCAACTTTTGACCTGTCACCTGCAGCAGGGCCTGAGGCTTTGATTTAGAACACTTCAACTCGTTGGCTCCCTCTTGGCCACAGATTCCCTCCACTTCGGGTTGGAATTGCAAATGCTTCCAACTCCCTCCACGTCAAAAGGAGCCCCACAGTGTTCCCCGCCTGGCACACCCAAAGGTTCAATTGTACCCAAGCCAGGCTTCAAGCACAAGGCACTAAGAAAAACAAACACTGAGCAACTGGTACCTGAACCACACCTGTCGGCTAAACACACACACACACAACTCACAATGCCTTTGCAAAAAAATCATCTGGACTGACACCCTTGGACCTTAAAGCACCCCTTCAAAAAAAAAGAGGAAACATCTTGCTGCTTGATTCAGGCTCGGTGGGAAAACACTGGTGACTACAAGCTTTGGCAAGCATCCATTTGCAACATTATCCATCTCGCTGCTCGGTTTCTGGCAGTTCAAGTTCTCAAATGTCCCCTCCTCTGGGTTCAACATTTCCACGGTCTCAAAGTGCTCTGCCACAGTACTGGCCTGCAATGCACTGAAGACTCCACCGGCAAAGCAAACTTCAGCTTCGCAAATTCTAAATCTTGTTCTTCATGCATGTGAGGTTTCAATGGGCCACGGCTCTCAAGTTCAAGGTGCAGCTGGCTTGTGACAACTGAGGGGTGGTTTTCCAAGGTCTTCACGCTGCCCTTGCGCTCAAGCGACACTCCGTAAGACAATTCATGGTGGCCTCCGAGTGTGTGGCCAGTCTGTGTGACTGCCTGTCGACAAGGCTCTCAAACTCCAACGCGCCAATGGCCGTGCCTTTTTTGAGGGTACCCCCTCTGTGGCCTTGAAGCGAAAACAAGAGGAAAACCACTATTATTATTTATTATTATTTTGGGGGGTCCCCCCAAAAACGACAACCACAGCGTTCCTGACCGCTTCAGCTTCGATTCAAGCGATTCCTGAGCTTTCCGCGGGCTCCCATCTGGATCGACATGCACCAAGACCTTCAATGAATGACGCTCAAGGAGCAGCACTGAGCACCAAGAGCCGGACATCAGTGACCGCCGGCCGAAACTCGTAGATCACGTGGTCGTGCACGTTCTGGCCAGCTTTCCAGGTGAAATGACAAGAGCTTCAACCTGATAAAAGCCGCAGCCTGCCATGGTGCTCTCACTTCTCTTGCTGTGCGGCCTCTGCGATCATTGATGCCGCTGAGGCAGAAATGCGAGCATCCACAATGATCGTTACGTCGACCAGGCAAAACGGGCCCATACGCCGAGTCCTGACTGAACGGTGAAAAATGGTGTGCATCTGTGAAATGGAAATGCGATGCGTCCCAACCAAAATGCAGTCGGCAGAAACATACAGGTATCAGCAGCTTCATGTACGCTAAGACCACCCGCCAAAGGACAATCGTTACTTCCTCTGCCAAGGATTTGACAATCACCAATGACAGCCTATGATTTCGATGGTGCTAGGTCAACAAGCTGGCAGTCTCCCGGCATGAATGCAAAGGGCTTTATTTTATTCCAGGCTTCTCTCCTTTCACCCTGACAAGCAAAACGGCCCAACAGGCAGCTCCTGAGCGTGTGGTTTCTCACCTCGCGCAAGAGAAATAAATCAAGGACCATAAAATAGACAATCTGGCAGCATCTGGCTGCGTGTCTGCAAACGAATTTCAAGCCTTGCACATCGGGCACGTTCCGGCATGAAGAGCAAGCGCAGCCGAGATCATCTGAGGGCAGGTCGCCTTGCACCTGCGTTATGGTCCTGTGCGCAGGCTGCGTGGGGGTGCCCACAACTGTACGATCCATGTTTCAGGGCAATCCTGGCCACACTACCCGGAGCAGTTCACAGCAGGCACTTCCTGGGGAAGTACCGCAAAGCCTTTGGTGACAATTGCTGTGTTTAAGAATTCCAGCAGCTGCCCAATGCACATAACCAAGCCGGAAGCAGGAGTTGTTGAACGTGTGCTCTTTCAAGGTGCTGACTTGCATGGCAGCGGGGGGGTTGTCACGATTAATGCTGGCCGGGCTATCCTTACAAAATTCATCTCTGCGGCCTACTGTAAACCGGCGTAAAGGAAGTGGTTGACGGTTGGTGGGAGGTTCAGCCAGTTGTAAGGCAACGGGGCTGCCTACCGCTCGCATGTTTTTGTGCATTCAGGTGTTAACAGCTGCCACTTGGGTTGTGAAACTATCACGGGGTGAGACGTGCACGCTACAATTCAGAAGCCAAGACTTGGGCAGGGAGTTTCGCTGGCGACTGCTAAACTTGCAGTATGCTTAAAGGGGCAACAGATTCGTCAGGTAAGTGGGGAAAATGTTATATCCTACTTACCATGGTTATAAGTCTCCGTTCAGTGAGTACCCCCCCCATCTTCCGCAAATCCCCTTGTTCAGGTCTTTTCCCCTCCACGTTGCCACTTAGCGACTCCTGCCCACGCCATCTAGCTCTCTGGGCAAGTCTTGCGGTCAGCCGTCATGGGCCTCGCTTGGGCTTGCAGAAGCGCTGAAAGGTCTTAAAGTCGATCCAGTCCTTGCGATCCGCGAGCACTACGGAGGGAATGAGAAGCGGACTGAGAGGGAACCATCCAAGTGGGCTCCTTTCTGAAATTCTTCGGGGACTGGGCTCATTCCCTTCCCCGAGCACCAAGAAGAGCGAGAGAGAAAGAGAGGGGAAAAAGAAGCCGCCAATGCTGAAGCATGGCATCCAGCATCCAGGGTGGCACAAGCATCCCTCGCATTCGCCGATTCAGCCGATTCGAGCGTTGCCAGGGGTGCCTACAAGTAGGAGCCTTCAGAGATCTTCAGAGGATAAGAGCTTCGTAAAGGGCTTCTCTGGCTGCCCAAGCGGCAGCTAGTGCGTCCAAGCATCCTTTCCACCGGTGGCAGCACTGATCATTTCCTTCACAGCAAGTGCCATGCAAATCAGCAAGCAAGGTGGTGCGCCTGGACGAGTAGCTAGGACGCGGTCTACAGCAGCGCCTTTAAGCACAGTCCACCCAAATTGGTGTAAAGCATTCATGTGCGGTTGGAACTTCCCCCTTCTACCCCCCAATCATTGTTGCTCGCCATGTGTGCAGAAAGCGCATCTTGATACAGCAGCTTGAGTAGCAACAACTCGGGCACAGCCATCCATTCCGCTGCGAGGGTTCCGTGAAGGCTTCGGGGACAGGTCTTAGGTTTTCGCAGTTACCTCACTTCCTGAGTGGATGTGCCAAGAAAGTCCGAGCTGTTCATTTGCCACTACAATGGTCTTTGACTAAAGTCCGCAAAAAATGTCCAGACCTTGAGAAAAGTGACAAAAGCTCCAGGAGCGCATTTTGGGAGTGAGTTACCCCGTTTTTTTGTTTTTTTCCCACAAAACCTTTGCCCGCTCCTGACACTCCAGCTCTGAGATCTCCTCCCCCATCTCCGCGAAGATTTGCGCCAGGCCCCGGGGATGGATGGCCGTGGCCGTCTCGTGCCTGAGCGAGCGAGCAAGGCGCGCGAGCGTCTCACCGGATCCATGGGCCCGCTTTTTGCTCGGCAGAGGTGGATAAACATAGGCCTACCGGTGTTTGATAATAAAGACAATGATCATGAACATCATGATCATAATGATGAGAAACATGATGATACTAATGGCAAGGGAACGGATTGAAAGTGATATGCGCTCTATTTGCCAAAGCCTGCGGTTCAACATCAGGCATTGCACTGGTGCACACGTGGTCTTTGCCAAAGCGGGGCGGTCGACACCTCATAAATAAACCTGGCGGATCAATTTCGGGGTAGGTCCCAAAAACTGAAGGATTCCTTCCCTCTTGATTTCTGCGAACCAGGGGTTTAGCAAGCAGAACTCGAGCAGGTACTCTGGAAGAATGTTTCCAGGCGAGGCGCGGGTCTATTTCGAGTTCATCCGGGTTGAAGAACTCAAAGGCTTCCTGCATCTCCTGCTCCAAGGTGATTGGCTGAGATATGCCTCAGGCGGGAAGCCGGTGTCCAAGTCATGCCACTCAGAACCCACCAAAAAGCTGCAGGCAAAGGCGTCCTTTTGCAACAAATAGATGGCCCTGGTAGATGACTAAACCACCAAGTAAACCAGGGCCATCGATTTTTGGACCAAAACAACCAAAAAGCGTCGGTTTGGAGGATTTCCCGCGGGACGGTGCATCCCGGCGCGTGACACGCAGAAGATCCCAACTTCTACAGCATTTCCAGCTCTGCCAATTCATATCCGACACGGCACGGCACGTAACATCTTTGAGGCTATTTGTAGTCAATAATGCGCAAACGCGCACATCCGCAGCTCCACTCAACGCAAGCCTGGCGATTGCAATAAAAAGGGGTCGCTGGCGCTGGCTGCAGGGGGTTGGGTGTGTAACGAGGTCCGGAAAGCAATTGCATCAACAAATGTTGGTATTTCTTTCAATACCCAGCAAAAAAAATACCCAACACTTGGGTTACGTAACGAGTTACGTAACGAGGCAATTGCAGCCCCAAGCCAACCTGGTCAACTCTTGCCCATTTTCCCCACGTCTGGGGCAAATTCGCGGATTTGAGTTGTCGAATTCTGAGAATCGTTTTTCGCGCAGGCGAAACACAAGCGTTTTTGGGGGGTGCTGGACCGGAAAATGACGGACAATGAAAAGAAATGAAGATGCAAGGGCTTCCACTAAGAGATGAAGATGAGATAAAAGAAAGGAACACGTAACAAAATACAGCAAAATGACTTGAAGGTAAAAAGTATAGGAAATGGACGAAAATGATGGAATTGAATTGAAGAAGAAAGGAAGGGACATGAAGAGACATTGAATAAGAAATGAAGGGCGAAGTTCAGCGTCTAAATCCAGCTGCGCTGTGCTCTAAATAGCGAACTTTAGAGAGTGTCCGAAGCCTTCGTCGAACGCCACGCCACCGGCTGCCGCCACGAGCCGCCGACCCACATCACCCCAGCCTAAAAACCGCTTGTTCGGCATCGATCAGGTTGTCTTGGGGCTGGCTGCAGCCCGCCGGGTCGCTGCCAAAACAGGGGGAAACCAATAGCAATGGCCGTTCTGAGGCAGCAGTCTAACCTGGTGATGCAGGTGATCCGTTTGCGCTGCCCGGAAAGCCGGGCCAGACCAGGCCAGGTCTTTTCTCCACCGCACAGCCAGCGCTGCTGGTGTCGGGCGCCAGCCCTAGAAAAAAATGTATCGTTCAACATCATCCGAAGAATTGTTGAGCAACATCTAGTCGCCTCCAATCATAGGATCAGGTCATTGTTGAGCAAAATCACGTCGCTTCCAATGAGATGGGATATGGGATACCTCGAACTTCCTGCGGCGGAATTTTCTGCCGCAATGCATTGCGGCGGAAATTCCCGCCGCATTCCAGAAAATCAGCCGCGAAGAAAATAAAGCGCCGCAACCAAACAAAAACGCCGCAACACCGTTTGTTTTCCGGGAATTTCCGCCGCAGCATTCCCACCGATTTCCGCAAATCGGGGGGTGGAAAAAACATGCATCCTGTCTGCTGTCGATGCGGTCAACTTTTCTCATGCGGCTTTGGCTCGGTTCGCAAGGTTAGAGGCAAGAAACGACCTGGCGAAAAAAGGCCGCACTGCCCGAAATCTCTCCTCACCTTCTCAGCTCTGAATCTTCTTCCTCATCTGCGTCAAATCCAGGCTTCTTCCAGCTTTTCAAGTTGGAAGCACGGGTGAGGAGAGCTCCCCGGGAGGGTTGGGAGGGTCACTTGAGCAACAACAACGTCACATTCAACATAGACCTCCTGCATTCCTGTGCACGCACTCCCATGCATCCTGTCTGCTGTCGATGCGGTCAACTTTTCTCATGCGGCTTTGGCTCGGTTCGCAAGGTTAGAGGCAAGAAACGACCTGGCGAAAAAAGGCCGCACTGCCCGAAATCTCTCCTCACCTTCTCAGCTCTGAATCTTCTTCCTCATCTGCGTCAAATCCAGGCTTCTTCCAGCTTTTCAAGTTGGAAGCACGGGTGAGGAGAGCTCCCCAATTCACCTGCCCAAAGCACAAGGTGTTGACAAACCGGCTAAAAGAATCTAGCAGCATGATAGCGGCTGGTAAGCACGTGCGCCAAGTCTTTGCCCAACTTGCGGGAGAAAGGTTCAAGCGAGGCCTTTGGTGGACCATCGGGGCTAGATCTTGGCAACAACCAATGGCTGTGCCCAGTCCTGCTGCAGCAACCACGGGGACCTTGGCAAGGGCGCGACAAACGGTGAGTATCGCACACGTGGTTGTGGAGAAAACCCAAGGGCCTGCGCCACCGGGTACCCCATTGACATGAATCGCCCGTGCTGAAAAAAGCTTGACCGCTGCGCAATAAATTGCGAAGAGGTGGAAGACTCCAACACCTGCTTGACCAAGGGTGTTGCAAAATCCATGGAATTTGTGCGCGGTTGAGTTCCTCAATCAACAGGATACATGTGCGGAAACATGCGTTGCCCTGCTGCACTGATTCCCTCTCTGCGCAACTTAAGAATCTCTGCGGAATACCCCATGGAAAGCGGCTGCTGCGGATAGCTTTGACTCTATCCCGGGCTCTTGAAAAACTGGCATATGCGGGTGCCATCATTGCGGCTACTACTCTGCCCCGGCGAATGTCCCGGACCAGTCGCCGAACCACTGTTGGGTCCGTCAAGTCATGCGAGGGACCGCGGCGGATATCCCACTGCTTTGTGAAGAAACCAAGCTTTTCGCACTGTAACGAAACCTCGCCTTGGCCCGCAAAAAGGTCCATCACATATCCGCTCACGGTGGCTTTCCCACGAAAGCGGGACTGGGGCGGTATCCCAACATGATCGCCCCAAGGTTTGCCTCGCACAGCCTGCAATGTGCTTGCAGATTGGGCGGCAAGCTTTCCGCGGTGGCTGCCAATCTGGCTGACTTCTCGTATCGCATGACACTTGTCTGGGACCGCCACTGGCCGCGGCGCTGAACTTCTAGCTGTGTGCGGTAGTTGCGGGACCGGTCGATGGACGCGCCGGAGTGACGGGCCTGGTAAGGGGTCAAGTCCAGGCCCAATGCCCGCGCCGCATCCTTGAAGGCCTGGGTGTACTGAGCATAGTCGAAGTCCCAGAGCGGAGTGAGCGGATGGTTCTGCTTGAGATAGCCAAACAGGGTGTGAGCCCAGGGCAGCAGGTAAGGCGAGTCCAAGGCCACGCTGCAGTCGAACTCGCCCGTCTTCGACCTGGCGGCTTTTTCTTCTGGGTTCATCAGCAGCGTCCAGCTGGACGTGATGTTCGGCGATGGGCGCACAAGGCAGTACACCTGAAGGCGAATCAATTCCGAGGGCCTCCCATAACTGGACAATGACACAAGGAGGAACAAGGCCATGCGAAGCTTTCCCTTTCTGCGAAGCTCCGCCGCCATCGCGGCCCACACCATCATGGGGTAGGCCAGTCGGCTTTGTCCTGGCGTGAGTTTCCTGAAGCCTTTCAAAGCCCGCCACATGCGCGGCAGGTTCTTCGCCCCCATCTTTCCATACTCTGGGTAGAAGTGGAGGATCGCCGCTGCGAGCCTGTCCGCCCGGTAGGACTGGAAGCCCTCGAGGTAGATCTTGTTGAAGTACTCCACCACCAGCCGGTCGAGCACGTTGGCGTCCTGCACGTTCAGCTCTCTTGGGCGCGCAAAGCTCAGAAACTCCTCCAGCTCGAGTTGGTACACTTTGTGGCTTTTGTCCCCGATGGCCTTTTTCTCGAGCAAGGTGAGATCCGTCCTCTCCATGGCACCATCGACAAGCTGCTTGGTCTGCCTCTTTGCTCGCTTCTTCAGGGCCGCCCCCCTGTCCCCAATCTGCGACGTGGCGCTGGTCGAGCTCCCTGAAGGCGAACGAGGCCTCTTGGAGTGGCGCGCCCTGGGGTTTGTCCATATGTCGACATCCATGAGCGAGAAGTTGCTTGGGTACCGACCTTTGGGGGTCTCCAAGTCCTGGCGTTGACTGGTCCGCTCTAACGTGGCTCTGTGCCGCGGGAGAGCATCCTTCTTCTTGGTGACCTTGAGGTCGTCCTGCTGCACAGCCGGCTTGTGATGCCGCTCGAGGGGGGGCCGAAGGTGTTGCTCTCGTTTCGGGCCCATTGTTCACATGTACCAGCTTTGTGGTGACCGGGATCTGGTCGGTGAGCAGTTTGCTTTCCTCTTGGGCAAAAAATCGCGACGGTTCGTCCGCGTTGTTTAATTCCGATGGGATCCAACGGACTGTGGCAGCAATATTTCTTGCCAACAAATATGAGGAAAATACTCGAATCTGCTTCAGCAGCTTGTAATTCCTGGATCTGAAACGATCGAAAGAGAGCGCAACCGCCATATTATCAACTAAGAGGAGTTGTCGAATATCCGTACCGAAAACGGACAAAGCAACCCGTCTCAGCGACTTGACCAATGCTCTCCCTTCCAACTCCAGGATACCAGCTTCATAACCCCACCGGCCCCAAAGCTTGGGCTCCCACAGTGTTTTGGAAAGGTGTGTTGCTGGAATCTCTTCAAACTCCTCGGCAACTTCCCAACCACTGGCTCTGAATAGCTCCTCATCTGAAACCTCTTGTCTTCTCCACTGCTCTGTCAGACTGTCCTTTACAAATCCGGCTGAGGTCAGGGCGTGCTCTCGCGCCGTTGTAGATGCTGCTTTGCGAAAGCGGCTCCTCTCGAGCCTACGACCGCAGGCTGCAACGGAAGGAGTGTCCCAAAACGAAGTGGAGACACCGTACCCTTCCAAAGAGGCGTCCGAGGCTGACACTAGGGGGTTCCAAGGCCTCCACCAGTCTGAGTGGAGGTATATCATGAGACTGCGGAAAGCCCACAGTTCCACCCTCACGGAGTTCCAAAGCTCAGTTGGGGCAAAGTAGTGCCTTCGTATGAACTTGTAAATAGCAGAGAAAATGCAGAGAAGCTGTCGATTGCAAAGACAACAAAAGGTTATGTGTCCCAGCACAATTTCTAAAAGCTTTCCTGAAATCTTCCGCCTTCTCAAAACTCCCCCGATAGCCTGGCGCAGCCGAAGGAAACGGGACGGCGACACCCTTGTAGCCATCAAATCTCCCCTCATACTGCAACCAAGGGCTTTGATATCCTCATGCTGTACCTCGCCTGGGTGCAATACCAAGCCTCTGTCATCAAAGCAGGGAGACAGTTGTTTCAAAGCGTCTTTCACAACGGCCCGGTGCGGAGAAATGATGCCCAAGTTGTCGACATACACATAATGCCTCACCTTTTGGTTGCCTTCACTGTCAAAAACAACCGGGGGTCCTTGGTCCGAAACCAGCTGTGATGGGAACAGAGATGGGACCTTGCTGATCATGTTCTCATTAGCCCGCTGGGCGAAATAAAGCGACCAAGAAAACCCCATGCAAAGCGACGCCGGCATCGGATAGACATAGTCGTGAGCCTGGACCTTTCTTCCCTCGATCTCAGAACCCGGGAGGCCTTTTATCCAAAAAGCCGGAATAGGATCCCAACAAAAATATTTGGATAACCAGTGGGGCTGCCGCATCCTGTGAAAACAGTCCTTGACGTCTGCCAGCCCAAAGTGAAGGCCGCGTTCACGAAAGTACTCCTCATAAGCTTCAGATCCTGGCGTCAGATTGGCTGGTATCTCCACCTCTATTCGCGAGAAACCTTCTGCTGTGCACAGTCGTACGGAAGGCGGGCTTCTAAATATTCGGTTGGCGGGTCTGGCATCCACAATGAGTCGGATCTTCTTCTTGTCACTTTTGTGAACAAAGAAGAGGCCCGCCCGGGCCTTGGGGGAAAAAGTGAACCGCAGGTAGCCAATATGGTGTAGCTTCTGCATTAATGCCTTATAGCTCCTCCTACTATTCTTCAACAGGGGGTCCCAATAAGGCTTGACTGGATCCTCCTCAGGGGCTTCGTCTCTAACCATAAGCTCCGGCGACTCCAAATATTGACGGGCCTCCGCTGGCAGTAAAGCTGCCACGTCGGGGACGCCTTCCAGCGTCTCCGGCAAGGAGATGCGCTCAATCTCGAAGCGCGCCAAAGTCACTGGCAGAGATGAGTCCTCATACTCACTTCTGCCTTTGAGCAGCTCCCGCAGGGCTGCCTCCTCAGGTGGAACCGTGGGCAAAGTGCCTGGGCCCCACGCCAGCTTTGTCAAATGCACGGCCCGGCCGAGGACTTGCGTCTGCATGTCATCCGGCTGGCCCCCGAATTCTAAAGAAGGTGAAAAGCCATTCATCCAGTTGAGCGCTTTCACGGTCTCCCGGATATCATCTTGCATCCTCGCCTTGCGACAAAACCTCTGCTGGCTCCGTCTGCTGAGGCGACCCTCTTGGCGCACCTTTGGTGGACAAGGGAGAGGAAAAACATCTCGGGCCTGAGAGGATGGGCCCGCTCGAGCGTCCCGGTTTTGTTGGGGCAGGCCTGCTCCCGGGGCAAGCAGGCCGTCAGCAAACTCCATCATTCTTGGGCCGGGGGTGGCAGCCCCCGACCCACACCCTTCTTCCCTGGTCTCCTCGCGGCTGCAGCTGAAGGCAGAGCTCCCCCGGCAACAGCTGCTGCGGCTTCTTCAGTAACTACTCCACGACGAAGCTCCCGCATCTTAGTGCGAGCTTGGTGCAGCTCGGCCTCTTCTTTGCCTTTCTTCGAGGCCCACTGCTTTAGCTGGGGCATCACGATGTCCTCCGGTCCTCTGTACCCAGTAAAAATCTTGGCAGCTCCCCAATCAGGGTTCCCCGCACCACCAGCGCCGAAGGCGTCGACGATTGCCATGATCCTTCTTGAAATGCACTCAAAAGATGCCAGGGAAGCCAGGTTCAACTGGTCATAGGTTCCACCGTACTCCACTGCCTCCACCAATGTCCGCATTTCAAACATGATGCGATCATTCTCAGGAATTTGCTTGAAGCGGGCCCAGGTCTGAAGCCAAGACCTTGGCGTGCCCCCTGCGCGCTGCATCTGCTTTAGCATGTGGTGAGTGCACACTGGCCCCTCCAACGGCCAGTCCTTGAAGGGGTACTCTGCGCACTCCTGGCAGACGACCTTCCACTCCTTGTATCTCTCGTCTTGGGCATCGTAGTCGACGGCCAAAATGCGAGCATCATCCGGAGATTTGCCTGCTTCGGCGCCCTCCACTTCAAGAGCTGCAGTCTCTGGGCCCAGCGCCTTGCTCAGCTCAGCGAGAACTGGGGTCGGCACTTCATACCTCTTCCGCAAGGACTCAACGTAGTCCGGAACATCTTCCACCTTCACCAAACGTCCCTTTACCCAGTCCTGGCCCACTTTAACTAGGGCCAGTTTCTCACTGACCATGACACCAGCCCCTGGAAAGACTGGCAGCTCTTCACCCAAGCTTCTTCCTCCGCAGTTCTCTTCTGAAATCCACACGAAACCCTCGGGGGCCATGCAGACAGGCTTTACCTGGCTTTCCAAACCCCCTGCATAGCTATCCGGGGCCAGGCCTTGATTCGAGGGATCTATGACGGCACCCTTTCCCTTCAGCCTCCTGTTCACCAACATTCGGCCAAGATAGCTTGTGGTAGCCACCTCCTCTCCTTTCAAGTTGAGCATCATCTGGGGGATCTTACTGTCATCCCAATGCCCAGCCTTCTTGACCTCCTCAATGGCCTTTTGAACATACTTCTTGAAAGCGTCGTCATCCACAGCATCTGAAAACCTATATGTAGGCTCGGAAAAGCGGGACCAATAAGAAAAGGTGGTGCCTTTCATGCGGACTCGATTGGGACCTGTATTACCATCCAAGTTGAAGAGCTCGGGGTAAACATCAAAATCTGGGGTGAGTATATACCAGAGATGACGATCTTCCATGGAAGGCCACAACACCAATCTCTCATGCCACATTGTGTCATCCTCATAGAAATTAGCCAAGGTCATCCCCACCCGGATACCAAACAGTTCCTCGACCCTTGCGTCGCGAACTGTCCCTCTGCTCATGGCGCCGGCTACTGTACAGGCTCCAAACCCAAACCCCCAGAAGAGCAATCAGCAAGCCCGCCCCAAATGAAAGGATCCCTTCTCGGGGAGTGCAGTCGGGGCAGACACACGAGCACTCGCAAGTCAGGGTGGCAAGCTGATGCGGCTCTTCAGGGGATGACCTGGGTCGGAGCCCCACCTCAAGGCAACGAGCGGCAAGGGTGAGGAAGAACGCTTCTAATTTCATATCCACCTTTCACTTGAGCAACAACAACGTCACATTCAACATAGACCTCCTGCATTCCTGTGCACGCACTCCCAGAAACCAAGTTCTGCCGCAAATCAGGAAGAAATGCCGCAAATCCAAAAAGGTGCCATTTTTGATTTGCGGCAGAAATTTCTGCCTCAACGAATCTCTAGGTATGAGATCCCTTTTCTCCAAGAATTTTCATAAAATCTGGGATATGGATGGATATGGGATCCCTTTTCTTCAAGGAGTTGCTGGGGGCTATGGTTGACGCCTCTCTCTCGATCTCCACGTCCCCGCCTTCCAAGAAGTGCACCAGCTCCTCGAACTCCAAGGTGCCGCTTGCGTCGCTGTCCATGCGGCTGAAGAACATCTCCAGCTCAGCCACCGACAAATTTAAGCCCAAGGCCTATCCGGAAGGTCGAAGCAGCGACTGGAGCACTGCGAAGTTTGGGACTCAGACTCAGATATCAGTTTGTTTTGTTTCTTCTTCTGGCGCTAGTCGACCTAGCAGAGCTTGGGATTCAGATTTGGTTTCTTCTTTTTCTTCTGGCGCTAGTCAACCTGAGAGCAGAACTGGCTCAAATGTGCCCAGCCCAAGAGTCTGGAACTCATTGGGAGGTTTGGAAAAACACACACACACACACACACACACACACACACACACACGTGCCGGCCGATTGCCGGCCCACCGGCTCAACCCTAAAAGCGCGCAAAACTGAACAGCCACACCGCTACAGCCGCACGGCTGCGCCACATCGTGATCAAAGCAAAACCGTGCCAACAACTCATCAATCGGGAACAGAGAACTCAGCACGGCAGCAACTACAAGGCTACCAAGACGGCCAGGCCTTCATCATCGGCAGGAACTCTGCCCGGTCTATTTCCCCATCTCCGTTCCTGAGCATTGGTACGCCACGAGCACTGAAGCGGTGCTAATGTGAACAAGCAATTCTTAACCATCCTGCTTGAAGACAGGGGCCTGAAAGTTTGGCCGCAAACTCATACCCTGGAAACCCATTCTGGCGCCAACCAACCCCCTGATCAATGAAGTCCCTCCCCAACCAATGAGCTGAATTACCAAAGCCATTGGCAATGCCAAGTGGGCATACAACAAACCAACAGGAACTAGGAAAAGCAGGGACTGGAAGAGTCACCTTGCAAATCTGTTCGCCATCCCACATCTTCCCAATGGTCCACAAGAAACAAGCTTCTCCCTTCCCTGCACTTCCCGTCTATGCTTCTTTGCATGTCCGCTCCCACAATCTCAAGGCCAGCAAATGCAATCCAAGAAACTCAAACTCACAAAAGGGCCTTAAGTAAGGGACCCCCCCCCCACTCTGCGGTGCCAGCCCCCTTCCAAAAATACGTCATCTTGGCATAACAAAATACTGTAGGCCAAACACGGGTCACGAGAGTCCCACAAACCGGACCCACAAAAGCACACTCGCATTGGGGTTTGGACCCTAAAACAGCTTGGGCGCTTGTCGAAGATCTGGAAGAGCTCCCGGCATTCTGCCACCTGCTCTGGCGTAAAGCCGCGCCGGGACTTTCCGGCGAACTTGTCAGGGTCCAGGGTGAGGCGCTGGTGGCGCTTGGACAGCGACCCCACAGACAAGGTGGGCTCCATGGCAGAAACTTGAGGCTAGCTTTGCTTTATTGCGCCTGGTCCACCACGCATAGAGGCTACAATCAAGGAGTGGCTGGTCCACCACAATCAAGGCTAACTTGGTCCATGCACGCGTTGATTTTGCAGCTAGAGCGGCTTGCTGGAGCATGTAGGCTTTTGCTCCCTTGGCCGGCATTTATGCATGTTTGGATGCAATATGGCCGCGAGGGGTCACAATGCGAGCAGAGCATGCCCTTCCACAAGTAGCTCCAACAAGCATCCCCGAGCATCTTCCTGCTATGGTTGCTAAATACCGCTCATTTGCCCAAAGAGCGAGAAACTGAGACTGGCCTGTTTGCACATGTGCAAAAAGCAAGAATGACGCTGTCTGAACTTCTGCTTCTCAAAACTCAGGTGAGCCCGAGCCATGCCACCTCCAACAATGTTGCAGCAACTTGCCCTTCGGAACAAATGCATGCGGCACTGGCACACTTAAAGGGGCATTGTATTTAGCAAGTGGGGAACAACCATGTTTATAACCCACAGAAGCCATGGTTTTAAGTCTCCGTTCAGTGGGTTCTCTCACCAGGCTTACTAGCCACTTACCTGACATACCAATCCGATCGCCCCCAGCTCTCTTGCGGCTCCTGGCCAGTGCCGCGCCGGAGCAGCAACTCATGCGGCCCTCGCCTGACATCAGGAAAGTGCCCATTTTTCCCCCGGCCCGATGGAGAAATCCTTGGGCTGGGGTAAGACAAATAGACTCAAAGAGCGACCGACAAAAGACCAACAAACAAAATCGGACAACCTCCATTTACCCTTTCTAAACCCAATAGGATGACAAACAGGAATCGGCCAAAAGACAAACAGAGTAGCCCATGGCTGTTTGCACGAAACCGGGCGAACCTGAGGGACACCTCACCCGTGAGCAATGCGATACTTTTGGACCTCAGAAAGACCCACGAAATATCTGGCGATCGCGCACTTGTGTCCAAGACAAGTTTCACCCGAGCGACACTAGCACGGCTGCAACTCAAGTCCAAGTAGAATACCAAAAGTGCTGGAGAATTCGCACGAGCAGAACGCAACCTACAGCAAAAAGCGGGGTGTGTCGTCAGCAACCTTCACCGTCATCTTCTGCAGCGCGGTTGTAGTCCTTCCAATCGTGGCGAGCTAAACAATAGCTACAGTACGGCATCTGCTTCTGACAAGTAGTTGGGCCTTGAAAACAATCATAGATCCCCTCTCCGTCTCAGAAACCGCACGGGTGACACTGTTACTGCATGTAATGGGGCGCCGGCTAGTAAGTCGTTCAAGCCTTAGCAGCGACGTCCCACAGCAAATGTGAGGGATTCTCGCTGGGGATTGAGTTAATGATGAAGGGCTGTTATCACTTTTTGTTCACCAGGACTGGCAGATGTCATGACGGCGGGGACGATGACACCAATAATATGCGCAATGGCAACATCTGCCTCATGACAGAAAGTCTGAATCGTTGACGCAAGAGGATTGAGTCTCACAAACGTATCTGGTGCAAACAAAATGTGACGCCCATGATCAAAAGACGTCTGACACTAACATCACATGGGAAAAAAACAGATAGTTGAGGGCCCTTCTGACTAGGACTTGTACCACATTAGCACAAACAGCAGGCAGCAAGCTACTCAACAACAAGCCACGCCGCAATTTCAGCGAACCAACCAACCTGCGTATTGAACAAATGGCGTGCATAGCTGCCTTATCAGCATGGACGGTCCGTGAGGCTGCATGGCACGCAAGCTAGCCGTGCTCAAAACACGCCACGAAGAGCAACCGGGCAGGACAAGAAGCGAAAACAAACAAACATGACAAAACAAAGTCAAGGATTCAATGAGGAAGTAAAAGGGATCAATACACACGGGATGAAACAAGTGATAAGAAAGCAAGAGATAGAACGCAGAGGAGAAAGAAAAGAAAACAAACGTACATATGGATTGAACGTGTAGGCGTTGAACGCAAAGTGGTGTCTTACGCTCAAATCTAGTGCAACATCAAGCGCCAGCAACATGGCAACACTCGACAGCCAAGACAACTGGATGCGCACCCTGCTTCAGCCCATCATTTTTTCCCTCCTCCGAAGTCACAGGTTGCATTCACCAGGCATACTGAGGCAGGAAAAGCAGGGAACACACTGAGGGCATCTCACTCAGGACCGAAGGACCATTATCCTTGTCTCCCAACTTCGCATCCAATAGCCTTCTGCTCCAGGCTTCCACTGCCCTTGAAATAAAATACATTTGGCAGTTGTCTTTGGCAAGCTTCGGCTTGCGAGCATGCACTGAATTCTGCTTGTGTCACTGCAAATCAGTTGCCACCATCACCTTAGACCCAAGAAACCAGTCCGGCAAACAACGGAAAGCGCCTGCCACGGCATGCGATGGCTTTCCCTTGTTTTCCCTTGCTTTCCCTTGCCTTCCTTCGCTTGACCTTGCTTTTTCCCTTGCGTTGCCTTGCTTTCCCTTGCTTCCCCTTTCCGTTGCTTTCCCATTTCCTTGCTTTCCCTTGCTGTCCCTTGCTTTCCTTTGCTTTGCCTTGCTTTGCCCGTGCTTTAGCTTGCTTTGCCTTGCTGTCCCTTGCTTTCCCTTGTTTTCGCTTGCTTTCCCTTGCTCTCCCTTGCTTTGCCCGTGCTTTTGCTTGCTTTGCCTTGCTGCCCCTTGCTTTGCCTTGTTTTCCCTTGCTTCCCTTGCCTTGCTGTCCCTTGCTTTCCCTTGTTTTCCCTTGTTTTCCTTTGTTTTCCCTTGTTTTCCCTTGTGTTCCCTTGCTGTCCCTTCCTTTCCTTTGCTTTGCCTTTGCCTTGCTGTCTTGCTGTCTCTTGCTTTCCCTTGCTGTCCCTTCCTTTCCCTTGTGTTCCTTTGCTTTGCATTGCTTTGCCCATGCTGTTGCTTTCTTTGCCCTGCTATCCCTTGCTTGCGCTTGTTTTCCCTTTCACTTGCTTTCGCTTGCTTCCCCTTGCCTTCCTTTGCTTTGCCTTGCTTTGCCCGTGCTTTTGCTTGCTTTGCCTTGCTCTCCCTTGTTTTCCCTTGCTTTCCCTTGCCTTCCCTGGCTGTCCCTTGCTTTCGTTTGCTTGTCCCTGCTTTCCCTTTCCCTTTCTTTCCCTTGCTTTGCCCGTGCTTTTGCTTGCTTTGCCTTGCTCTCCCTTGTTTTCCCTTGCTTTCCCTTGCTGTCCCTTGCTTTCCTTTGCTTGTCTTTGCTTTCCCTTGTTTTCCCTTTCCCTTGCTGTCCCTTGTGTTCCTTTGCTTTGCCTTGCTTTGCCCGTGCTTTTGCTTGCTTTGCCTTGCTCTCCCTTGTTTTCCATTGCTTTTGCTTGCCTTCCCATGCTTCCCTTTGATTGTCCTTGCTTTCCCTTTCCCTTGCTTTCCCTTGCTGTCCCTTTCTTTCCCTTGGTTTCCCTTGCTTTCCCTTGCTGTCCCTTGCGGTCCTTTGCTTTCCTTTGCTTGTCCTTGCTTTCCTTTGCGTTGCCTTGCTTTCCATTGCTTTCCCTTTCCCTTGCTTTCCCCTGATTTCCCTTGCAGTCCCTTGCTTGCTGTCCCTTGCTTTCCTTTGCTTTGCCTTGCTTTGCCTGTGCTTTCGCTTGCTTTGCCTTGCTGTCCCTTGCTTTCCCTTGTGTTTCCCTTGCTTTCCCTTGCTTTTTTGTTGCTGTCACTTGCTGTCCCTTGCTTTCCTTTGCTTTGACTTGTTTTGCCCGTGCTGTTGCTTGCTTTCACTTGCTGTCCATTGCTGTCCCTTGCTTTGCCTTGCTTTCCCTTGCCTGGCTTGCTTTCCCCTACTTTCGCTTCCTTTGCCCTTGCTTTCCCTTGGTTTGCCTTGCTTTGCCTTGCTGTCCCCTGCTGTCCCTTGCCAGCTTGACCCAAGTCAGAGCAAACCAACAACTGCACAACCCTCCTGCACTGAATCACATACAAGCAACAACCCAAACCAGCGCCCGTACTTACACACCCCGTGTCGTCTCCCTGGGACCTGCAAACCAGCCTTGCGGTGGCAGAAAGTGCTCCAAAAAATACGCCCAAAAAATGGGAGTATTTTTCCTGCGACATCCCCAGCATCCGACCACCACAAAAACTTCCGAAACAAGCGGCATCCCCTGCATCCCCGGCATCCCCTGCATCCCCGGCACCCCTTGTGCGCCCAAGTCCGGCGAGGCCGGAAGCAAAGGAAAATGATGTAAAACTGGCTTTTTGGCCCGCGAGAGCCACAGACGAAAAGGTCAGACATGATAGGCAGCGTCGACGAAAAAGCGCGAAAAACACAGGGAAAAACACCAAAAAATAGCCTTGCGGTGGCAGAAAGAGTGCTCCAAAAAATACTCCCATTTTTGGGAGTATTTTTCAGCTGACCAGACCTGCAAATCTCCCGGAACGAGGTTACCCCCCCCCCCCCCACACCCCCCACCCCCACAACTTCGTACACTAACTCCCAGCGCTTCAAGAAGCGCTTTCCGTCATCACCCGGAACGAGGTTACCCCCCCCCCCCACACCCCACCCCCCACAACTTCGTACACTAACTCCCAGCGCTTCAAGAAGCGCTTTCCGTCATCTCCCGGAAACGAGGTTACCCCCCCCCACCCCCCACACCCCCCCCCACAACTTCGCACACTAACTCCCAGCGCTTCAAGAAGCGCTTTCCGTCACTGCTGAACAAAATCTCTCTCTCTCTCTCTCTCTCTGTCTCTCTCTCTCTCTCTCTCTCTCGCATTTATGCTCCCCCCAGCTGGAGATAAGAAACACACATCTCCAAGTGTTGAGAAGTAGCTGGACCGGGCATTCACAAATTCGACTGTGCAACTTGTTGAGACTGCTCGAGCAGCTATCAATATATCATCGCAGGCAGCAGTAGGTTCGCAAAATGCAAGTGACATGCAACATGACGTGCTTTCTTTTGCTGTCCCTTGCTTTCCTTTGTTTTCCTTTGTTTTCCCTTGCTTTCCCTTGCTTTGTTTTTCCCTTGCTGTCCCTTGGCAAGCCACCGAAAGCCGACCCCCACA